CTCCCCCAGAGTCTGGAATTTATGCCCACCATCGCCTGGTGCAAGGTGCAAGGGCAGTGTTTTGTCATGTTTATGTGGCACATTTAATCAAAGGACTCGAGGATGCTCGCTGAGCACATCGATGTCGACATCCAGAAATAATAGTTGATGTTTTCTTGACTGGCTGTGTGACATGTCCCACGCAAACCCTTATGCCAGTAATACATAGAAAATTGTCAATGCACGAAGAGAATTGGGCAAGGCAACATTTCCAAACATGCGCAACGGCACATCGATTCAGCACATGTACTGAGGACTGAATACAAGAAAAGAGATATTTTGGAGAAAACTGCGGAAATTGGGGATTTGGTACCATTCTTCAAGAGGGCTTGTTTTCATGTGGATTCACAAATCTACTGCATGCATTACTGCTCTCAAGAGAGGCAGCATTGATGATGGCTACATTATCGCAGTCATCGATGTTCATGGAGACTGGATTGGTAATGAAGTGGACGATCTGGGCAGATACAACTTCATAGATGTGGCATTGCATGTAGAAACAATTTATTGATGGCCAACTTGCAGTGATATGTTGGGTGTTCGAATGGGCGAGGATCACCCTCGAGTTGGGATCTCCAGGCTGGGCAGCGCGGGCATTGGACGCCCGTCATGGGTCTGTTGAAGTATAGCATAATGAATCGCGGTCGAATTCATCTATGCTCTGTTCATACTTCATTTCTGCTGCGTGGGCTTCGTCCAAGAGTTGATTTGATGGCTGAAGGATTGTTGGGTCGGCCAGCTGTCATTGGCAACGGCGTTGGATGATCTGGCGGAAGGACAGCTGTGGGTTGAATCAAGAGTAGTGACAGCTGTTGTGCTTGACAAGCACGTTGGATTATGCGATGGAAGTGCAGCTGTACACCCGACATGTCGGGTTGAATCACGAGTAGACTGACAGCTGGAATGTGTGAAACGATCGATGGGAATGTACGATGTGTGGTTTGGCATACAAAAGTTGGACATGGCAACATTGTAACAGATCCTTGTTGGTGATGGGTTCCGTGCCCCGAGTACCGCAAGGCCGCGTTTCAAACCGCCTGGCAAATCGCAGACCCCCGACGCCGAAGGCGTGGCTTCCGTGAGGCTGCGCGGCAGGGGATAGCTACTAGCAAGCGTGCGGACGCAGGCCCCGAACGTGGGGCATCTCCAGACGCCGGCGCCTTACTAAGGCGCGCGGTGATGGGTCGACACGCCCCGTGAGGGCTGTGCGATCGCGGGCGGAGGACCCCGTGCGCCGGCGAGGGCGTTGGCGCGACGTGGGCTGACGGGGAGCGACGGGAGGCGAAAGGGAGGGTGCATTACGTGGTGCGTCGAAGGAATCGCGAACCGTGGACGGGACTGCTGCAAGGCGGAGGTACTGCAGGTTCCGGCAGCGAGTGCGGGCTGCGAACGAAGGCCGAAGGGGGGCGATTTGCGGTCGCCGCTTCTCTGGCTAACTCCGGAGGGGAATCGCCCGTCATTCTGCGCATGATAAGGCGTTCCTTCGCTGGAGTCGCGGTATTTGTACCCTGTGCCTGACCAACCTGGTGAAGCACCTGCAGCAGGAACTGTGATCCCCTTTCAGCTAAAGTTTCGACCTCTATCTGAAGTTCGGTCTTGCTCCAGTGCCAATCCACGCAGTGCAGCTGCCTGGCCGGGGCTGCAACAGCCAAGAGCTTGAAACCCGTTTGCGAGGGAGCGTCCATGCTGTGCGGGCGCAGAGAGCAGAGGATGAAATTCTTGCCCATGACCCTTGTCCCAGCCCATTTTTCGTAACTTAACATTTCTCCGGACAGGCTCTCCTCCCGATCTGCCATCGCCTGTGAACTGGCACCTGGAGCTGGTCCCGCTTCCCACACCTTCAAGCTACTGTCACCACCAATGAACTAGCGAGTGAGACTGCAGCCATGCTTGATCGAGGTGGCGGTGTTCTCGAAAGCTCTCGTGTTTTTGCCGCGTCCGCCAACCTGGCAAAACACTGGCGAGAAGGGGCAGGCATGCGGGCGCGGGGCAGTGTCAACGATGGCCACATGGGCACAGATGCTGGGAACACGTTTCAGGCACAGTGCACTCCTGCTCTCGTGTTCCCCACGTGGAGAACACCCCTTGGCACCTTAGGCGCTGCTGATAGGCCGCCACTACTTCACGTACTAATAATGGTGATCGCTCTGCACAAAATGGTATGTAGGTGCCGTGGTGGACCTGGACATCGCTCGCAGTAGCGGCTTGTGAAGGCAAGGGTCCACGCGTCCACACTGCCCCCCCACGTTGCCAAAACCTACGGGTTGCGCAACTTGACCTTACACCTCAACTTTCAAAGGCTGCCCACTTCGCTTGTCTGCAACATTCAAAGTGCCTCCGCGTTTCTGTTTTCTTGCAATATCTTCCCCGTTGGCAAGTGTCCAGTCTTGCCAGGAAAGATGACAAAGAAGCAAAAATAATATCAAACGCCCAGCTTGCCGAAATATCAGTCCTCTATGCAGTAGCTACTGAGCCCAACTGCTTTTTCTTGGCATGGGGCACATTTAAGCGCAAAAAGACAGCGTAGCAATTACACGTGGGAGACGTGGCTGCGCCTCGTCGACCAACCGCTTTTCAAAGGAGATTCTCACGTCGGCCACGATGCGACATGTGCGCATGATCACAAACCTTCAGCCCCGCAAACAGATGCAAGACACGCCAACGCTACAAACACGTTTTACAAAGGGAATTTCTCCAAAGCCAATAAATTAGTGAGCCGGACGCCGGGCAAAAACCCACCGCGGCGCTCAGATTATTGCCAGCGACGACCCCACCGACCAGCGTGCGCCGGCGAGCAACAGCCAACACTTGCTTATTTCCCTCGGGGATGGCATGACGCTATTGTACACGATGATTACGACACAGGACCCCAGGCGCATGAGTCATGGCCCATGACGCGATCGACGCGACCAGCAGCTGCAAAAGGCGTGGAGTGCTCGACAACTGTGAAGACGTCGAACATCACGCGGCTGACGACTATGCCGTCCCTGGGCGCCTGTACGCGGGGCGGTTGTCCACCAGGAAGCCGTGGCCAAGCGGCCTCAGGTGCCTGGCGGTGTGCCTACGGGCGTACAGAAGCAGCGACCCCAGCCTGTACGCCGCCCTCCCCTCGTCGCACTCCAGGGCACCCGTCACGTAGGGATACTGAGGGCTCCTCGCCAGCTGGGGGCGGTTGAACCGGTTGACCTCCCTGAAACCGGGGGCCAGCGCGAGGAACCGCACCTCCTTGGGCATCAGCTTCACGTACTCCACGTCGTCCAGGGGCAGGGCAAGCTTCACTTCGGGGATGTACTGCAGGGTGTGGGTCTCCGTGAGGGAGATTGTGAGCAGGTGCCTGTGGGTGATCACCGCGAAGGCGTTCCTCCCGGAGAGGTTGACGCACCCCAGCAGCACGCCGTTGTGCTTCCTGACCTGCGGATCCGACGCCAGCATGTTGCCGACGGCCTCCAGGTGATCGTAGGGCTGGAGGGCGGCCGCCGGGTCGATGCTGCGGGGTATGCGGATCTGGTGGAAGGGGGCCGGGTAGCCCGACACGAAGAGGCGGACGCTGTCCGCGATCCTCGATGACATCTCCAGGGTGGCGGCGAGTGGCCGAACCTTGAAGGAGCAACACAGGCGTTTTCACGGATGTGTTCACAATGGGGTGCAACGAGTGCAGTTCCAGGTTCTGCAGGGGGACGGGATAGCCTTTTGGGAATTTGACTGAAACAGAGCTCTGAAACAAGAGTCTTTGGGGATGGTGAATGGGCAACTTCTGTTCACCAATTGGCATGGGCAGTCATCAAGGCCTTCTTTTGGGACACCAACAAGAAACACCAAATGTCAGGAGGACATCTGGCTCTTAGTTGCAAAACAGGCATTGATAAATCTTTGCTGGCAATGCAACAATAAGGCATACATGCACCCAATGCCTGGAAGCCTTCAAGACACGGCCACAAGTATTGCCACTGTGTCTCTTTATGTCGTGCCTTAATTTTCTCATCAAGAATTCACATCAAAAGCATTGCCTGCAGCACGATGGTACTGCTCAATGCCATGGGCACCAACATCCCCAGTCAGCCAGCTTACCAGTGCATAGATTGCTCCCCTGACGGCCCCCCTCAAGAAGCCCACCACAAAAAGAGGGCCTCCAGCCTGAGCGCCCTGGATCGACTCCCTAAGCACCCCGGCGAGCCCCCCGAGCAGTGCCCCTGGCAGTCCCGAGTCCACCTCTTCGCCTGGAACCACCTCCCTCCAACGCCCTCGGTGCACCATCCTGAGCCTGCTCTCATCCTCGAGGCCGAGCACCACGAGGCCTTTCCAGGCCGCCAGCGACATCTTTGCAGTCGCGTTGCTGAAGCCGAATATTGTGTTTGCCAGGAGGGAGCGAACGCCAGACCCCAAGCCAACAGCAACCCCCAGGGGGCCCCTGTGGGGAGCCTCCACCAGTGCGGCTGCTGGGTTGGCCACAAGGGACCACACACCCAGACCGAGGTGGTGGATCAGGCGTGTGGGGTCGCCGAGGATGTCAGCTGAGCCAACAACCTGGAAAACAGAGTAAACCACCATTGATTGCATTGTCGGAAGTTGCTGAATCATTGCCCTTGTTGGGCTGCCTGGGGCACAGAACACAGGAGAGCAGCAATCGATGGAGGGACTGGTACGTGCCAAGCAACAAGGCCACTCCGGCCATTGCCCGTCACAACTAGCACACGGCTGTCCAGCAGTTCCAAGATGTGTATCATCGCCTTGAAGATGCAAGCAAAATGCTCCATCATATTCGGGCAAATGCGATCAGAGCTTGGCAACTGCCTCGAATGAAAGGCAGCGATGGAAGGCTTCAGTGCAGCTATCCACCAAAGCAAAAGGCACAACCTGCATGTGAGCACAGATAGAGGCGGAGACGCCACTGGCCGGGGACAAACAGTTCCTTCTGCAGAAGCTGCTCCTACTCAAGGACAGTGTGGGGGACAAGGTCACACGGTGTGTGCATGGGGAGGTCATCTGATGATGAGGGCAGAATTCACCCAACAGCAGGCAACAGAATGGAAATTAAGGCGAAGTGTCAGCACTGGCTCAGAGGGAACAACTCCTTTTGCGGATATTGTTGTTCCTCATAAGGAAGGGAGGCCCACTGTGGTAGGGTTGTGGGGGTGGGATGGGCGGATCAGCAAAATGTTTGTATGGGAAGGTCTACTGATGCAAGGGCGAAGTCAGTCAATAGCAGGCAACTTCGTAAATTAGAGGACACATAAACGACATAACAGTTAATTGAACAGCTCTGCTGTGGTCACCTTGTACACTTCTTGCAACAGGGCCTTGGTGTAGTGCCTGCCAACCAGGGACTTGAATGCGTGCTGGCTCAAGAGTGGATGCTTCAAGTCAAGAGCCGTCAGACGTATCCTTGCGCCTTCGACATCTGCAAGGGCTATGAAACGCTGCAGCAACACACCAGCTGCACCAGAACTTCCTCCCTGCAGAGAGGCCAAGCCCACTTGTTGCTGGACATGGACAGTTCCTTGCAGCACCTTTCCATCGTTTCTTGCAAAATGTGTGCGTTCCACAGAAGGCATACACAAGGTGTTGTGCCAATGAAATACAGGCACAGTGCACATGACTCAGCCAAGCTGTGCACTGGTGCTGGCTAAAGCATCGCATATGTGTATGGGTTTTATTCGTGTGCAATAGAAATTTCGATGCTAAATAAAGCAACACGCCACAAGCAGCAGAGCAAGCAATTGCTTTCCATAGGGATGGCCTCCACAGCAGAAGAGCAACCGGACCAGAACAATCGACAAGAACTTTTGAGCTTAGATTTCAATCAACGTCATAAAATCTTCAACCTCCGCTCCATCACCCTGGGCACGAGTGAATGGGCCAGCAACTCTGCAAATTTCCAGCAGCGGAAAACAAGCAATGAGAATTCCCTAATCATCTTTTGAAAGCATACGAAGCATACAAAGCAAAAACGGTTTGCAACATCTAATGGCTTATAGGAAAACACAAAACAACAGAGGCAAATTAATCCACAATCATCAGATGGCGTTACCCCAGCACCACATACCAGGCCATCCTGTGTGGACAGGCGACTCGTTGTTGGACAGAAGCTGACGGTCATCTCCAGCCTTGATACATGCAAGTGCTCGAAGTACACTTTGCTCTTGGGGGTGGCCTGCTCCCAGACCCCTCCATCCAAGGCGATCACATCCGGCTCATGACCCCCGGGTCTGCCGCCCATATGCCCCCAGTCCTCACCAAAGCGCTCGACATGGTTCTCGAAAAAGGAAACCAGTTCCCAGATGTGTTGCTCCTCGAACTCAAGGGCAAAAGGGGCTACATGGACGTGAAGCTGCTCCACACAAACGACACCCCCAGGGCGGCGGCGCCAAATGGACGTTCGCACGCCCAGGGCATTTGCTCTTGACAGCCCTGGGTATGTTGACACAGCGATGGTAAAGCACAGCACAAAATGGGCACTGCCCTTTGTAAACAAGGCCCGCAGACCCACAGGCCAAAAGCAGCCCTCAAATTCTACAAGGTGATACATGAATGCGTAACAAGTCACAACTGAACAAAGGTATGAAGAGGGTGCTGGATGTTCATCGCCTACAACAGCCTGACTCAAATTGGACTGGAAGCCACAGCCCTCACTTGGTCGAGGACGAACAGGGTCCAACAGTCCCCACAAACCGAAGAAACAATACCCAATGCATGTTTATGGCTCCCACGGGAGTCACAGTGACTGCTGCCCAAATCTCGACGCAGCCCATTGTCTGTAGAACAATAGCATGCGCACCTCACAACAGATGTGCAGTGTCCAGTGGCCGTGCTGCAGCCCTTACGGTATGGATGGATGTGCCATTCAGAAAATTACATGCACATTTTTGCTGTATCATTACTGTAGGAACACACTTTCCACCGCTGTCACTGCCTTGTTCAAGACGTATGCATATGCAATACATGCCACATACCAAGCCTGGATGTGTCACTTCCTTGCCAGCCGCCCACAATATTCCTGGACAAGGGACCCCTAGCCATCACAGGGTAAACAGCTTGACCCATGCAGTTGTCCAGTTGGAAGCGGTTCACTGAGCACTCGAACGTGTAGCGGATCTTGCTCACAGTGAAGCGAAGCTGCGGCTCGCCGACCCACGCGTACAGCAGTTCGCGAGTGGACGACACCAGGGAGAGGCCCACTGCATATAGATGCACGGTGACCTCCAGGCTGTAGCCTACAGAAACAATGCACACAGACTTTGAGTATCAAGCTGAAACACACCAACATTACAACTGAACATTGCATATACATTAAAACACAGTTTGTGCAGCACATTGCCTTCCACCTCTCTTCTGACAAATTGGCGCTGACATCTGAATTCATTGAACTTTTTGACATGATATGCAGGATATTTGGCAGGCAAGAAGACCATTCCACCAGGCAGGTGGCAGCGAAATGCAGCTTGGGACAACAGCTGCCAACCAGGATGTAACTTGTGTACTTAAGGGACCCCTCATTCTATACATTAAAACAGTGGGATATACCAGATGGCTTGGCCTTCTGCAAAGATCGAAATCTAATTTAGCGAAGTTCGTGGAAAAGAATGATACAATACAGCCCTCCACACACAAGGTCATGTTGGGTTCTGAGGTTCAAAGCAAGCAGGCAATTGTGCAAGTCCTCATGGATGCCCTCGCTGTTTGCTGGTGTGTCAGTAATGGTTTCTTGACAGACTTGATAAAGGGGCAGGCCTAAGTCGTCTACAGAGATCTCCTGTGCAAAGTGAGCAAACATTCTGGAACCTGCACTACTGATGCAAAACCTGCCATCACCCTTTCCCAAATGTGGTAGAGCAATGCATTGTTGCGTTCTGAACATGTTGACACCCTATTGGAATACAATGCATCAATATATAATGAAAATGAATTCGTTGTTGACAGCTCCAGCAATGGCCTCTCAACAAATTGGCTAAATCGATCCAGTCTCTGTGGAACGACGCTGCAAATCAATGTATGGCTTACTGGGCTGGGAAGAAGATTTCCTCCCTATGGTAGCAAGCGATGGCGAACTCCAACCCTTCCAATCTAAGTGCTCTGTCCGCGAGGGGTTGTCAGCCAAGGCCGCCCTTGGGTGAAACTCCTCATCGATGACCGCCATCACTCGTGTTGGTCCCTCAGCATCAATGATGACACGTATCCGACGTTGGCTGTCAGACCATGTACTGTTGCGGCTTGGAGGAAGTCTGGTGCATGCAACATACCCCACCTGTGCAGCACCATTTGGACTCAACAAAACTGCGCACAATGATATATGGTGACTGCATGCATATCACTCAGCCCCCAGTATCCACGTTGTGGTTGGCCAGCATGGGTGCTGGCTTCATAAATCACAAAAGCTGGAGAGCATGGCTGACACTGCCAGAAATTGCCAAGAGACAAAGTTACTAACACTTTCAACAAACTATTACTAACAGGATGCTCCTTTCAAGTCCTTGAAGCGATGAGCTGCTTGCTCACCTCATCTAAGTTGAACGTGCCAACGTATTGACGACCTGCCAATTCCAGAACCACCCTATGAGGAGCAGCTGGCTCATCCCAAGCAAAGGGCACCGACGAATACGGCCGTAGAATGTCTTCCTGATCCCTGCAACAGACACACCAAGCACAGCCAGTCATTGCGCAGTCCATGTGCACTGACAGCAACAGAAACAGTACCCAAAGCACAAGCTTTGCAACCGCCTGGCTTGCTTTTGCTCTGTGCATTAGTCTGAAAGACAGAATGCCGCCTATTTGCCAGTTCATGCTGGCACACTGTTGAAATCCTGAGGTGCAAGAAAACGCCCCAAGTGGTACAAAAGAGGACCAACAGGCATGGGAAAATTGATTCACTTGGGGATGAATGTTGTTATAAACCAATTTGGTCAACAGGGAATCGTCCCCAAGTGGTGACCATCTGACAATTGGGCACCTGTCAGGCACATTTGGACTGACAGCCATGGTGTGTCAAGCCAAACAGCCCCGCCTGAACTGAGTATTCAAATGTTTCCCTGGAAGCGAAACCTACCTCCAGGATTCCTGTCGTATGTGCAACTTCTCTGACGTGAAATTGTCCAAACGGTATGGTGCAAATCCCTCCTGGCGTGATAGCGTGGCGGTCAGCACCCCGCTCCTGCTCGTGCTCACATCAACCCCAACCAAGATGGTCTCCTCCCTGTGCCTGTGGCGGATCTTGACAAACATGTCCCCGGGAGAGTCCAGCAGGATCCCCCCTGACCACAGCCACCCAGCCTCCTGCACCCTGAAATTTAGCCTCAAGGGGCGTGAGGCATCTGGCCAGTGCATGTTGCGGCGGGCGCCTGAAGGCAGTTCCCTCTCGATGGGGATACCCTGCTGCCGATATCGGAGGTTCACATTCAGGGTGTTGTGCAGGACATAGCGTGGCATGATGTGCAGGGCCCAAGCCCCACCAGCCTGAGGGATAGGGACAGCAGTCACCGAGAAGAAGTAGGCAGCTGCTGGGAAGGCAGGCTTTGATGCTGAGCCTTGGATTGGGCATGGTACCTGGGGGAGGGCCAAACAGGCGGCTGTTGTGCAAATTCTTTTGTCAATTGGTAGCAAACTGACAAACCAATGGAAGCATTTTGACGTGACTGAAGACATATGAGAACGAAAACGGCGATGGCTGATTTACCATAGAGGAGATGAATGCCACCCAAACATTATGATGCAATGTAAGAAATACCTCCACTGTTCTGAGGTGTAGTCAGCACAATACCTGCAAGCATTGTGCACCAAACTACCATCCGGACCTGATCAGCGAATCAACACAAGCTGTGCACCATGACAACAGGTAGCCCACCTGAACGACTGCAGCCCCTCCTAGGGCATCCAGCGACACGGGGCCCGACCAGTAATCGCCTCCCTGAGGCGCCTGGGCCATGCTGGAGCGCAGCTGCAGCCGCAGACGGCCATGCCGCGGTGTGTTTGCGCCCTCGATCCAGGGCCACCTTGTGCCTGCAAAGGAACCCCGTTTTCGGACAGACTGCCTGTCACTGGTGCTCTGCTGACTGGGCCCAACCCAGCCTGTCCTGATTTTGAAATCGGTTGCCTCGCCGGCTCTGACAGCGCTACCCAGGCCCACAAGGTCTGTTGAGGATGACATCTGTGACAGCGGCTGTTGCGACGAGCTGGAGGTGGATGCCGGGTATTTTCCAGAAATTGGGACTGAAGCTGTGGAACCTGGGGCCCCAGCTGCAGCACTGGCCTGCCGAGCATCTGCTTTGCCGATGAACGGAGGAATCCAGCGCTTTGGAACTCTGTCCTCAGGAAGCCTGACTGCCTGCGAGGCAGAAAAGGATGGGGCCAGTAAGTGCCAAGAGCCAGCAGCAAAAGCACAACATACCAGATCAACAACATACAGATTCGAGTCACAAACAAAAGCTCACAAGAGCACATCCACAAATGTTCTCAGACTGTACCTGCCAAACTTGCTTTCAACTGTCCTTGTTGATCAAATGTTGTTTGCTGAGCTTGCTTTTTGGTGAATTGGACACTCACATAAGTTGTCAACTTGTCAAGCGGCCAATATCTTGAGTTGCACTAAATGCCAATATTGGATGGTGGCATGATGCTGAATTGTTCCAACATCTTGAAGTGGATCAGCACGCCACACAAAAAATGGCAGTACTGTGTGAAGCTGGTGAAATTCTGCAAAAGGATCACCATCTGGCCTGCTGTGAATGGGTTTCTGTGGAAACTATGAGTGCACCCTGGCAATCTCTTTGTGGTAGCCCATAGTAACGTGCCTCAAAGAAGTTGCTCCCTTTCTGCAAAGCACAGGATCGGAAGACATGGTCTCATAACTTTCCCTTGTCATACATTTGAGGCGTTTGCTTGGGCTTCGGGCTAGTGTCTGCACAGTGTGTAATCAGGCAATGTGCACAACTATGACCATGGGGGACTGGTACAACAGGAGCACGACAAGGGCTGGATGCTGGCAAGCCTATCTTCACCTGTCAGGTGTATTTTCTTTGTTGGCAGTGTGCATTGTGGCAAATTCAATCAGCGGTTCAACAAGACTATTACATGGCTGGATGGGAGGCACACACTGAATATGTAGTGTGGGGCAGAGGCACCGACGGTACAACAGGAAGTTGGCAGCAACCTTACCTCTTCCTCCACAACAGGCTCCTTGCCTCTGCTTTCCCTCAGGGCAATGGGTATTCCAGCACAGTTGTATACCCAAAAGGCGCAACAGAGCTCAAAGACATGGCTTCCGGTGAAGCCATGAACGTAATGACGAATCCGCACAGGAACGCCACTGTGTCCTTCTGCAGACACCTGTCACAACAAGACAGAACGTTGACTGCCGTCAGTAGTGGGCCATTTGTAGCCGATGGTAGCATACCAATGGAATTCTGAAAAGCCACTTCTGTACCTAATTTCCTGTGTCCTCATTTCGTAGACTATGCAACTGCAAATACAACATTGACAGGCATCTTGACAACAAGGGTGACTGATTGCATCAAATCTACACAATCAGTTTCCATCAGCTGCAGAGGATCTGCTGCTGTTGCCAACCATGCTGTGCACCATGGCAGCGGAGAGTAGTTGCCAACCCACAGCCCGATTCAAAATTCTGACTGCAGATCGAAGTTTCATCTTCACCTGCATTGTAACATCTTCTCCGCTAACGTCTTCAAAAGAGCCTGAAAGCAGTCCTGCCTGTTCAGTGTGCCCAAATTCGGAATGATCATTGATAGGTGGAATGCTGTCCACATCGCACTGAGAAAAGCCTTCCGGGCGAAATCTGATGCAGCAGACGTCATTTCCCAAAACCGTGTTTGCATCCATGTGTGACCTGGGCAACAAAGCAGCTCACTTGCATCAGCACGTCAATCGACAATTCAGCCACGTTGAAAAGTTGTTAAGTTGGCAACAATATAACAGAGCATCATTCCGGCTTATACTGCTGATATTGTGACAAGAACAGACTGTATCTGGCGCATTTGCAGCACAAACATCTCCAATCGAAGAGAACTTACCAGGGTGGTACACAAAAACCCAGGTTCTCTTCCATCTTTGTGTTGGTTTCAGGTGGGCACAGCTGGCCTCAGCTTGGGAATGTCTTGAAAGGTGAGGGAAGCATAGAAGAGTACAAGATGCAGTTCCATTTAGTGTTGAAAATCTATGTACGGGAAAAGAACAACGACAACCACAACCACAAAAACAATAACAACAATGGCAGAACCTCTTCTACCAGGGGATGGGCAACTGGCATCTTTGATATGATGCAACAATTAGCTTCTGAAGAACAGCAACCACCTTGGTTCCACTCTGGACTTAGGTCCTGGGGTGCTCTGCGGTGCCACCAGCAGTGACACATCTGTAGGCACTGGCAAGTAGTTCCTCACAACGACTGGTGGCAAGATATGGAGCTGAGAGAGCGAGCCCTCACGTGACCTCTTGGCCCCAAGGAACAGCCACACAGGCTTCACCCCGCCAGCAGTAGGATCGCAACGGAGGTGTGAGAAGACACCCAGGCCATTTCGCCCATCGCGGAGCATGCCATAGAGTTCCTGCAGCACAACAGGCTGGCTCCAAGCACACTGCAGCGCCCATGGGTCTGTTGACTCCGGACAGGGGCGAATGCAGATCCATCCTACAAAAGCAAATCCAAACACACTGGGGCTGTCAGCACCAACTGTCAAGACTGGTGGCCTGTTGTCTGGTGATGCCCTGGATATCTTGAGAATGTGTGGATCTGATGGCATTCAAAACAGATGTAGATTTCACAACATATCTGATCGGTCTTGGTCAATCAGATCACATGCTTCCAGGCATTTTCAAACAAGTTGAGTACCCGCACTGCACAGGCCAGCAAACAATGGCATACCAGCCTGCTGGGCAATGTTTTACATTCTTGCAGCTCAATTGATTCATCGCATTGATCATTCAGAAACGACACATGTGGCTCTTGCATCTTGAGGGCAACTGTGGGCATCATCCCAACAATTGAAGAAGTAGCAACAATTTATACAGATTAATTGAAGCTTCTTACCTGCCACAGCTGTTTTCACAGGAAGCCATGCCTCCTCACCAGGGGCAAGGCCCCGCACACTCTGCGGTTCTGTGCTTCTGGCATGCCAGCAGCCAACCTCCAGCCTCCATGCTGTGTCATTCAGCAACCCCACGTTCGAGCGCAGCTGAACATTGAACCCACCAACCTTTTTCTGCAGCACCTCACACACTATCTCTGCTTCGACCATTGTAGGAGAGGCAGCAATGCCACTGTGGAGGTGCATCTCAGGGTCGCCGATCGCCCTGTCAAGGCTTATCAAGTGCTTTGTCGTCCCCACTCTGTCAAGGGCACAGGGCCCGCATGCACACACTTGGCCGTCCAGCTGGAAGTAGAGGTGCATTCGCCTGTGACGGGAAAAATTCGCTAGGCTGTTAAACTGACAGTCAAGGATGTCCACCCCTGACTCCCTTGGGAAACCTGATGAAACTGGTTCATCATCAATGGCACATTCAGGAGAAGGTGAAACCTCCCGTTGGCTGGTGGCATCTTGCAAATCATCATACTCTTGTTCTTTCACCCCAGAAATCTCAGCAACCTGGTCAGTTTCCTGTTCAAAGTCTTGTGCAAACCATGGCACTGTTTCTCCTCTTTCATCGCATCTTGAACCCGAACCAGTGTTCTGGTCCAAAGGAGGGTCTGTGCTGTCTGGCGCCTGGATGGGCACTGAGGAAGCAGCAGGCAAGGCAAAACTCATCTCTGTGAGCGACATTGGCCTTGAGGGTGGTTTGCCGCCCATGCTGATGGTCTGCATATCCCCCACAGCCACAGCCCTCAGAGGAACAATCTCCTCGGCATCTACTCTCCACACCTCCTGCACCTTCTGTGGCATCTGCACTCCCAGGCCTTGCCTCGAGGTCCAGAAGTCCAGCTTGCACCCTGTCTTGTTGTCCAGCCAGTGTGTTGTGAAGAGGCTGCCCAGGTGGGGTGAACTGCTGTGGTCACAACAGGGCATGTCGCCAGCTGCTGGCCATGAAGTGATGGCCGTCCTGATGGCGTCATGCAGCACACCCATACATTCCAGCATCCCCGGAGACACTGTCATCTCCAGGGTCTGATCGGCAGTGCACCTGAGCACCGTGCAAAGCTGTGGCCGAGGGGCATGCCGGCCGCCATCGTGGCGCATGTGCGTCTGGCCATCCACCTGACAAAGGCACCAAAGTATTTACACTGATGGGTAGTAGCCCCAAGCAGCCATCGATACAGCAGACACTGCTGTGGGTAAGAAAGAGCCACAGGGGAAAAGTCAAGCTAAATCTTGTCCACAGAACCTACCATAGCGGCCTGAAAAGCAGCTGAGAGTGAACAGTGGATCAACTATGAAACAGTCCAGAAACTGCTGCCATTAGGTGCATCTTTCCAAGCAGTATCGCTTTGAATTTTTTCAGTCCATCTCAGACACAATGTTTTAAACATTGATAGTGAATCTGTTGTTCAAAATGACGGAGCTCACCCTAACCGCCCAATCTTCGCACAGAGGCTCCCAACCCATCTTGTGCCTGTTGTACAGGTTAACATGTGGTGCCAGCTGGAAGGACCAGGCTACGAGTTCGGAGTTCTGCTCCCTCTTTGCTTCAAACTCGAGGCCCTCAATCGCAGACTCTAAGTATGGCAGTATAGTCTGAGTGCGATCGTCAATGAACAGGAATCTGGCGCTCCCTAGAGTCACCACAACGGACTCAGGGGCACACGGCCACTCGCTCCATTCCCTTTGGCTGGGAGCCTGCCCCTGGAAGAAGGGAAACAGGGAGCTCCTTGTTGACAACGTGCTCCTATCATCCTGTGGGCTGCCCATGTCCGAAATGTCCGGCATGTCTGGCAGCTGGGCATACTCCTGCCTTATGCTCTGCACGAAATGTTGGAATGCTCCAAGCCTCTGATACGATCCTGAGACACCCAGAACATCCAGCGAAACAACGATGTTCAGCAGCGGCCAATTGAAGCCAAGGGAATTTTTGGTGCTGCTCGAGACACCAGCCGGTGGGCTGGCCTGCACTCTCAGCTTCTCGACCTTGAGAAGCCCCCCATTGTTCTTGGTCACGACCCAATCCTCTGAGCTTGTGTGAGGACAGCCAGCGGTCCACCCAGTGGACAAGACAAAGTGAGCAAGCGAGCCAGATACAGAGCTGGGGGAGGCCGCCATTTCCATTCTGCTGCAGGCAGCCAGCAAGCATGGCTTCTGCCCAGCCTCTGTTGCCTTGTTCTGAACCTCGATGTCTGACCTGAAGCCAAAGTCGCACAGGTGGAGCTCCAGGTTCGGGACAGAGCAATGGACAACCCCCAAAGGATGCTGGCTTGCAGATGGGCCGCTGGAAGTCGAACCCAGGCCAGTCCTCAGCATTGGGTACTTGCCAGCAATCGCAAAGCCGTCCTCGATGGAATGGATCAATGGCATCCAACCTGAAGTGTTGAGCTGAACTTTAAGTCCATCATCCAGTTCAATGGTCGTTTTGGTAGAGGGCACTGTCCCAGAAGCAGGGCACTCCTGTAACCCTGGATGTGCAATCTGGCAGAAGACAACACATGCCTGCATGCTTCAGGCTCACTGGAATTTGTCAAAATAACAATCTGAAACAGCTCAATGACTCCTGAGAGGACAGCTATGCCAAGTGATTTCACAGCAACGGTGTAGAATTTTGGTTTCTTTTCAACCGGACACCCATGACACACATGTTTCGTTGCATTAATTCCACTTCCTTACAATCCACAGCATCCATGCTCTACACACGAGATGGAGAAGCCACTGTGAAATAAATCCAACAGCTATACCAATGACCATACAGCCTTGAAGGCAAATGCACACCAACAGGAGAGTCTCAAATTTGAACACACAAAGTGTGTTGAATTCCCCAGTGGCACAAACCAGATGACTCGATCGTGTCCGCAGGCAGCCACCAGCTGTTGTTGTGGACAAGGTAAGGAGCAAGGCACCCTTGACCGTGCTCTGATACTGGTAGTCCTCCTCCTCGCCACCACTGGAGCAACCAGGGTCTGCCCAATCGGAGCGAACGGGATATGTGGAAAAAGAACGATCGGAGTCAATAGAACTAGCCCTGCACACACCATTATAACATTTAATCAGCGATTTCTCCAAGACAAGCAACAGTGTCATATGTGTTTCTCTTTTCACTTCGGATTCGAGCAAGGTAGACAGACATCATTTACCAATTTGGAAGAAATCCTACTGTCTACCAGCTTGGTTGTCAGTGTGCTGACACATCTGAACGTGGAAAACATTAGGCACGTAATCGTGACGTGTCCTGCAGCCCAATATGGCATTGCTTCGTGTCCAGCCAGTTTCTAACGACGAACTACTGCCGCAAGCAGTGCGCTAGACAACACAGGTAAAGACAGGGCAGTACCTCAGCAGCACAGAACTCAAGGTTTTTCTTCACAGAGCTCGACAATACTGGGATGTGATGATGATGGTAGTGAATTCCTTAATTACATAGCGTTCACTAAACTCGACTCCACTTCCAGCAGCATCAACGTGATGTCAACAGCCTGTGCCACCTTTTGGCAATGTAGGTCAAAAGCAAGATGTCCAAAGATGTCCATGTACAGAGAGGTTCATGTACAGAGGTGGCTGCTGATGGGGAGCAATGGAGTCATCAGAATGTAGTGTCTATTGTCAGAATGTAGCGTCAGCAGGAATGTATCTCATGTCCCAACGTCCCAAAAGCCACGAATCTCCAAGTTCCGAGATCTCCTGTGTCCCAAGGTTCCACAAGTCCAGATGGGCTGTGGAAACTGCGCAATATCCTCTGTGCAAACGTGTCTTGCCAACATACCTGCTGCCACGGCCACTCTCCAGTTCTTCATCCATTGAATGGAAATCTAGGCTTCGCCTGCCACTGGGAAGGATGCTGTCAGTTGTCTCTGCAGAGCGTGGGCTCGGGCCTGTGCCACCATTGGAATCACTCCCTGCTGGCGTGTTGATCCGATCCAATGTACCTGGTGGCATTCCCTGCTCAGCCGATGCTGTGTGGATAGCAAGCCGACCATCACAGCCCACATGGTGGGCCACCCTCTCTATTTTTGTGCCGATCGACACAGTGAGGCAATCCCAGGACAGGGAACCATCCCTTGTAACGTTCAGACAGGCCACTCCCACAGGGTGCTCTTGAATGCCATCCTTCCCAGGCTGACTACAAGGCTTGCTCACTCCTGTGGCTGGCATCTTTGGACCATCACCTTTGTCCAGACCACCACCAGCTGTTAACTCGGAATGGAAGCCATGTGAAGCCTCTTGCTCCATGCTTCGAGCTTCACCACAATCAGAATGGTCTGAATCCTGCGACGGGGCTTCTGAGGTACCTCTGCTGCAAAGGAGTTCCCTGCTGTATGCCCAGCGGTACCGCATCTGTGCACCTGCCCAGTGAAGATGAGTTTCCAGGTCATCTTCCCTGCTGCAGTCTAGACTGACGTGCACACTGGCAATGTCTACAAACACATCAACCTGTTGGTGTGGAGCTTCGACGATTGTCAGCTCCTCTTGCTGGGTACTGTCCATAACAGTGTCCTCCGCCACAGGATTGTTACGATGCATCTCACAGCATGGCTCTGAAGCATATTCTGATTCAGGAAAGTACAATGCTGCCCTCTCCAATACTTCGGCAAAAGCACTCATAGCCACCTCCACCTGATGATTGTCGAAACTGATGCCAATGTCGCCCAGTGACACATTGTACACAACTTGGTCCAGCACCTGTCCACAATTGTATGGCCATGGCCTCTGGCTGGTGATGCCACCCTTGGACACCACACCCATGCTGGGGATCTCCACCACTGGAGACAAGAGATAGCTCTGAGGTTCCACAGTCGCAAAGAGTTTGGCATCTCTGAGAGCCACATGGCCCACTTCCACACATCCAGCAGCTTTAACTCCTTTCAAAATTCGTGTTAGGAAAGCAAGTTCGCACTCAAAGAAGGGTAGTTGGAGCATCATTCCAGCATGGCTGCCAGGCAGGGACAGGACAATGGCCATCTCCTGGCCACCTTTTGGTATCACCATAGCACAGTCAACAAATGACATCACCAAAGAAAAGCACCGCAGAGATGATGTGGAGGCCTGAGGGGCATCAATCAAATCCTCTGCTGAGCGCCCATGTTTGCCCCAATCGGCAGCCAATACTGCTGTGTCTTCTGCAGATGAGGAAATGCAGCCACCTTCAATATCCCTGACATGCTTCTCATCGTCAATACTGCATGATTCTGGCTCATTTGCAAATTGCCAAGGCGCTGCAAAAATGTGCTGCCAAAACTGCATCTTTGAAACATCAGCTCCAACCTATTGGTTTCCTGGTGCCTGAAAGAAAAGGTAGCTATGGCCTGTTCATCGACTAAGCAAGACTTCACATATCCCCCCACTTCGCTGGGAAATGCCATGATTTCAATTCCCGCCAATTTGCCTGTCACATGGAAGTCGCCATTCACCTTGGCCTTGTGCGAAAGGGTGAAGTCGTGCACAGAAAGACCCTTTGCCATTCTACACACGTCCCCCTTGGGCCTGGGAACCTTGCCACCATACTTGGATGTGTCGTGCACAGTCAAGTCACTGAACGAACAAGACACTGTGGTTATTTCTTTGGACACTGCAATGCTCAAGGTAGAATTCTTAGCCATTCCCTTGCAGCTTAACTCTTGCGTGCCTCCAAGGCAAAAGTATCCAACATCAACCTCAGCATCGTTGTAAGCGATCTTCAGCTTGGATGTTGTTACAGACAACTCAAAGCCAATGGTGTTCCCAGGGCGGCTTTCCAAACTGCAGTCCTCACCCTCACCAAGTTCTGTCCCCAGCTTTTTGCCATCCTGTGCCTTAGCAGCACACTTTTTCAGACCCTGCTCACCAGTGTTAAAGACTTTGGTCCCCTGTCCACCGGACACAACATCAGACCAGCTGACCTGTTCTCCCTCCTGACCGTGCAATCGGTCAGCTATCTGCGCATCAGCAGCCAGTGCTTGAACAACGTTCTCGAGCACTGCGATGTGCATCCCTGTAAATGTGATGCCCACATCTGTACACCTGCAACTCATTCTGAAAGCTGGCGAGCTCGCTGCTTGGGGCACACGGCTAAGCTCCAGGTCTGCATTCATTGACAACTTGCTGATCAGCGTGTCAAAGCGCACAGAGCTTGAGCCTTGCTCTTGGTGGCTTAGAAACACCTGCAGCCCTTTTAGTTGCACTTCTGATCGCCGGTACACAACGCTGCTCTCCAAGTCCCCCAGCATCACCTACAGCAACAACCAGGCCCAATGAAGACATAGCCTTGAACATCAATGAACAGCAATATCAATGAGCCCAAAACAACCGACATACTCCACATTCCAGATTGAGCAACAAAAACTCGCGCTTCAGAAGACTGGCTTGTCAGGCCATGAAACAGAACAACATAGCCATTCCATCCCCTCAAATTTTGCCAGACCCCAGAACCCAGCACTCATCAATCGACCTTCACAACACAAACAGCCCAAGGCTGAGCAGAACAATCAGCAGCTCGATGTCCTGCACAGGTCAATCACAAGGTCACTTTGCAATTACCTTGGACAGCCCAATGAGTCTAGGACAGAAGCAGCATGCTACCGCAACACCCTTTCATCGCCAACAGGACAAAAACAATGGCGGCCTTTTTGCAGCAAGCAAAAGATAAATTTGCAATCAACATGGACTCCATGTCCATCACCTGCAGCAAATGATGCGCTTCACTCTTTTCATCTGTAGCCTCCATTGGGGCTGCAGCCTGAATTCTTCTCAAAATCCTTTGTGTGTTTGCCACATCTGTTGTGGGGTTCGAAACGATCCCAAGAAAATCAAAGTGGCACGAGAGCAAGGGGGGTTCATCAAGCACATCCTGGCTGGGAAAGCACAGCAAGAAATCGTGCAATTCGACTTCCAACCCCACGAGGGGTGGGATGTATGACATGAGCTGCGCCTTGGCTAAAATTTGTGCTCTTCGGCTCTTCAGGGAAGAAATACATGACAACATATGTCCGTGCCAGGTTCCCTTGGGGAACTTTCGTGCAATGCCCAGCAGCCTTGAAACAGAACACAGAAATTCAGAACATTGAGTGCAGCAGCTACCAATAGCAACAACACAAGTTCGAACATCCGTAGTGCTGTCTACAGCAGTGGGCATGCAACCTAAACTCTGACAGAATATCGAGAGCCAGAAAGTGCAAAAAATCTGACACCTTCCAGGTCCTGCCTGGGTGGTCTGGTCAGTTATTGTATTGGTAGAGATTGTACTCGTCGATTACAGTATTGGGTTAACTTTGTCCCATGTAATCGCTGGAAAACTCTGCATCAACATTGAGTTTGAGGATACCTTATGTCGGTCTGTCATTTTATGTTGCAGAAGTTTGGAATTCCTTTCAAAATTTCTATTCCACTCTTCTGAAGTGGTATTATGCACCTGTAACTGCCAAAAGTTGTGCAAAGGAATTTTGTTGTGCTGCGTGAATCAAGTGCTATCCCAAGAAATTCAAAACTCACCTTCCAATGCACCTTGGACGATACACAAGTTTCAAAGGGTCCACACGAACTCTCATTTTTCCCTTGCCATCGTCTGCTGAGTCATATGCGATGTACATTGCTGGGAACTTGCCACTTGCCAGTCCAAGATGAGAGTCTATGATTTTCTTGCCCTGCTGAAGAGGCACAACAATGATTAGCACCACAGTAGGATCCACATGATCACTGCACATCAGTCGTTTACATCGTATTGCTCTGAAGCTCAGACTTCATCTGCAGAATTTGGAATGGTACATTGCAGAAGCACATACTAACTGTCACTGCTTTGTGGGCATGTGGACATGCTTTCGAATCACCCCCTCACCAAGGGAAGGTTCTCCATTTCGGCCGAACATAACTGGCCATATGCTGCGAATTTATGGTAATGGACAACATGGGCCAAAATTGGACTCAACGGTCACCAATAGACCATCACCTCTGCAGTCTGCTTTGACAACGCCTGCGTGATTTGGACAAATGCTACCCTCTATCGATTTTTTTCTCAACTTCGATCCACTGTTACTCAGTGCTCCAGCAACAACCAATGCCACAACTTCGAGATGCCAAGACAGGCCAACAGGACCAGCAGAATGCAGCGACAGACTTACAGGCAGCCATAGCTGTTAGCCTGTGTTAGCCAGATTAGTTCATGGCCAAGGCCGAACGTGCACACCTGTGCAGGAGAAGCGGGGCCCCCCTCATGTCTTGACACAATGCACTCACTGACACCAGGGCAGCTGCACCAGTCGCATACAGAGAGATCGGCCACTGCAACAGAACTTCGGAAGCGCCCTGCCTCGAGCTCCAACTTGCTTTCGCAGTTTGCAAATCCCACAGAAACCAGAGTACGCGACCTCGCAATCGGAAAGTGGTCATCCCTCAGAAGTGCTTCTATGCTGCCCACCTGCCACGTGCCAAACACAGTATGGATGCATGATAAGCATGGCTTGATGCTGCAGGAGGGGATATGTCAAGCCACGGGCTCCATCCAGAAAAGACATTTTGCAACCAGGATGCTAGTTCCAATCAACTTACTATGAGCAGCTGATGTTGTCAATCCTTCACAGTTTCCAAGGCAATTGGTTTCGGCTCCACAACTGCAGCTGCAAATACGCTTTCAGGACAAACAGAGTGCATGGATGCCCTGAGAAACTGATTTCAAAATCTTTGCCGCCAAGCAAGGCCTTGATGGCACACACCATGACCTTCAACAATGCCCGAAATACTTGTAAAAAGTTTTTAGCATCAACAAAGGGATCAATCTCTGCCTGCCATAATTCATGCCAACACAGCACTATCTGGCAAGAGAACAGGATCAAACAACTGGGCAACAACTCCTGCCTGCTGTCCTGCTACATCCACAAACCCATCATTGATGAGTCAAGTGTTTTGCAAAATCAAGAACATAGCTGTCTGCTACATTTAAACATGTGTGTGCACTTTTCGGACAAGCTTGTGGATGGTGGAATCCACAAGTGCACAAAGCACACATTTCCAAGGGTACAATGATGAACACAGCACGGAGTTGCATCGGTCACCTCCACAGTCATGGATGCCAAGATGGGTGCGGGTGCGTATCGACCTTCTGGTTGGCTGGAGGGTTGTATACCCAGGGCTTCATAGAACTGCGCTATATCCCTCTCAGATGGTGGCTCAGGCAATGTCGAGGGTCCAGATGAACTGTAAGACATGTAGCCAAGGAGCCCCCACACTCCTGACATGCCCCAGCCCACCCAGCTGCGCCAGCGGGATGCATCTGAGACAGCTTCCCCCCTTTCGCCTGGTACAATACATGGATCAATGCTGTTGCTCTTGTTGTTCATTTCAAGTTTGCGCACAACTCATTGTCATCCCATTGCCTCACACAAGCTGAGCAATAATGTGCACATTCCAGTTTCAATCCCCATACTTGTCCATTTTCTTCCTCAAGGAACACAACAGAAGCCAAATTGCCATGAAGGGGAGGGCAAGCAACATCCCTGTGGGGGCCAGCGAGATCAGAACCATATGTTTTGCTTGCAGCAGTGCAGGCATTCAAGCAGCTGTGAGACCAAATGCGTGCCTGTTGGTGGATGCGAATCCATTGTCATGCTTGAAATCAACCAAACATGTTGCCCACAAACACGATGCAACCTTTGGCTGCAGTTTGTTTCCCGACAAACGTCCAAATATTATCATTGATAACTATAGCAGTAGTGTATCAATATGGACATCAATACAGGCATATTATAAATACAGGCATCAGCTCCACAGCAGATTGTTGATGTGCATTTTGACCAGTGAATGCACAATTGGATTGCTGCCGCCAGTAGACCTTTCAGTTTCCCTCTGATTTACACTTGCAAATATGCATGCTTTACACCCGAAGAAACAGCAAACCATATATCTAACTCCCCGATTTATCAATAACATCAATAGGAAGACCAAACTTGACAACTTGATGCATGCACAATGACAGCTTTGATATTGGCGAGCCAAAGGCACAGTCATCATTGTTGCCAGCACCACAAAGAGTGCCCTGTTTCTGTTGAAGCATATGTGGGAGAATGTGGTTTGTGTTCGGCAAACACAAAGCCGTCAAAAGTGAGGTGATGAAAAGAGGAGCTGGCAGGGTATGAGTCATGCCATGTTTTGGGTACGAAATGCAACAGCATCTTTGGCACAACCGCTGCTCCTGGAGAGTGCACTGCACTGACAGGATGTGTGGAACCTCACTCGCAACCAAGCACCCTTGCAGTTGGCTTGATATCTTCTCAGACTGTGTCTTGATACAACATGTTCATACTGTCAAGCAATAATTGTTCAAGCACCAACCTTCACTTCTGTGCTCCATACGCCGCTCTGCGAGCGATCTGAACAACATGATCGCAGCCACTGGGAGGTCGGTCTCCAGGTCTGCCAGCTCTGCTGCATAGTTGTGCCCTGAGGACGCGCCCGTCTGCAGGGCCTCCACATGCCTGCGGTACAGACTGTCGTATTGCCGATGCCACTGCTGCCAGAGCTTGGGATTGGAAAGCAGGGAGCCAGGCTGGAGGATCCTCAGCTCCTGCATCACAGACTTGGTCGCGTACTGCCAGATGGACCGCCAGCCAACAGGGGCGCTGGTGGTGGTTGCCTCTTTGCAGGTCTGCACCTGCAGCGCCGTTCGCCAGCCCTGTGGCCTGAACTTCCCGAACTGACACCGCCTGCTCCAGATTGCAAAGTCTTCTGAAAGATGGGCCAAGCCAATGAGCTGCGCTGAGCTCATTTGCAGGTGCACATCGCGAACGTCCCCATGCACCTGGAACTGGAGCCTGGCTGGGTCTGAGGGCCCGCACGGATGTAGGTAGACCCAGAAACATAGGTCGACAGGTTTCATCAGGTAGTCTGCGTCTTTAAACTCTGTTTGCATGGCGGCCATGGGATCTTTCGGTGCTGTTGGAATCCAGTACACGAACAGGGCCGAAAATGACAGCACTTTGACGATCTCCTCACCCTGTTTTAGAGGTGCATCCATTGAAAAAAATGTCAGCGGTGTATTTGCACATTGAGAAAGAGGCGATTTGGGCACAATGAACATGATGATGCCGATGCAAAGGGAGCCCAGAGATCTCTCCTACACAGGTTTTCCTCACAGTCTCACCGCTGGCGAGGATCTTGGCAAAAGGTTTCTTTTCCTCTCCACCTCCTGGTCCTCATGCTGTGTTTCCAGGCTCCCAAGCCTGAGACCAAATGTCGCTGCAGGCTGGTGATCTGAATCAACAGTCTGGCAACCGCAGCATGTGCTCCCTCAGTACAAGGTCCAAATGCGCATTGAGCACTCACTACAACCATGACAAAACATAACGACTATTTGCCCATAAAATGCCATTGGGCACAGCCTCTTGGCACGCACGCAAATCCATTGGAAGGAAGAACAAAGGGGGGGTACGAGTTCGAAACTCCCTTTGCAAATGATGTCAAAAAATGCTCATTTTGAAATTTTGAACCCCAAAGATGATCTCGATATCTTGATAGCGTGGGCATATCAGGTGCTGTTATCAGCATTCCACTGGCCCACAGACTGCACACGTCAACAACGTCGAGCAGAAAACCCGCACATGGCAACTTGGTAAATGCATTCTTGTAGCAGAATTCGTTCAGTGCCAAGTGAGGCCGAACTCTACCAGATGTGAATGGCGTCAAAGCTGTATTCACCAGACACACTGCTGCACCTTGCACTGGAAGAATATTGGGGGAAGCGCTGAGTGGGATGACGGCAGCACTAAATGTGGTGATTCAAGATACCTTGCTGTCTTCAGCAACAAGGTGGGGAGAGAGGGCCTGCTCTCTGCACGATCACAGTGCTCACAGAAGAGTAGGAGAAAGGATGCGGTCTGCTCGATGAGTCACTTGCCAGAACATTCTTTCAGCTCCCTTTCACTGCGGGGTTTCAGTTGAATATTCAAAAGACATATACAGCGACGGATGAAAATGTCCAGATGTTCAGGTGTGTGGCACTGCCAAGGTGATCCACCATCGTTGACAGTAAGGATACCTGCAATCACTTGGAACAATCACCTGAAAAAATATGTGGACGTTGGACACAGAAAGCTGCAGCCTGCGAAGGAGCAGGCTCCAGAGGGATGTCATCAGGATCCAGCGGAAATTTCGGCCGTCCCCTCCCCTGTCTGCAGCAACCTTTGTAGACAGTTTTTCCAGCTCGGCAGCAGCCACTTGGGCCTGCTTAGCTGCCCGTGCCCGTTTGATAGATGCCTCTCCAGACCACTTTTTGCAAAACAACACACAGGTGTCTGGGCTCGATGAGCAATATTCAATCACTAATGTGCTTCTATGACATTGTCCTTCCTGCGCACAGGGAGTGCTGGGCATGGTGTGTGTCCCTGGCATGCTTCCAGAGTATACATTATTGCCAACCTCCGTTTGCTAGCTCTGGCCACCAATGATCAATGTATAAACTGGATGGTTTGCAGTGTGCTTCAACACCTGTAGCTGCAGGAGAGTGGAGTTTATTGGCCCAAGACTGTGTACCCATCAACCGTACAGCTGATTTATTCAGGAAGAAGCTGCACAGAAAAGGGGGAAAACAGTATGGGAACTCCCACGCCGTGCCAAGGGAGGGTCTCACAAGGGTTCAATTTCCTCATGCCAAACAGTAGAGCGAGAAAGAATCTGGCAACCAGCGCTCACCTCATGTTCATCCCAGGGGGTGCAAGACAGTGTGACATCAGACAACTCCACCACAATAGGGCTTGAGCGAAGTGCCCTCCAAGGAACCTGCACAGCAGCATACTTTAATTCCCAACACCGACAATGTGTTTTCTGACAATGTAACAACAAATACAAAAATGTGTTTTCACAATGTGTTTTCTGACAATGTAAAATGTACATTCCGAACAGGACCAGAATCGTGCACTGCAGATTGCTGCAAGGAAACTGGAGGAAAGTGTTGCACCCCATTTGCAGATAAGATCTCCTAAGATGGTGTTACAATGATAGCGTCACTTGCGACAGCACTTCCAGTCATGTCCAGAACAGCTGCATGACAATATGCAGTGGCATCCAGGGGAACACAAAATCTGTCACCCAACACTCAGAGAATACCCCCTACCTGCAGCTGCAGCCTTCCGATGCATCCATAATTGACTTTGAAGGGGAACTGCAGGTAGTCGAATGCGTCTGTCCGCAGTCGTGCGTTTTCGATTACGACACCTGGAGCAGAACTACGACATCAACTCTCTGGATTCGCACAGCAATGTGCTCCATGGCATCAAGTGGCCGATGCAACAGGAGTGTGCAAATGGCACCTACTGTGACACAGATTCAAATCCGGACATCCACAATGAAAATGCGGCAAACAGAAAGTGAATCCAGAGTTTGCAAGATGGGCACTGCCAACGTCATGCTGCTTGTGAACAGTGAAGGACCATAACGCCGAATTTGTAGTCTTGCGCTCTTCTGAGGAGTCTCAAAGGCCGGTGTATTTGCTGCTTCAAATAATACCCAAGGAGCCAAGAATTGGCGTGTAAGAACGAGAATTGAGATTTCGGATTGGGTGAACGACAGCTGTGGCGTTGACATGACGACCGCGAGCACGAACGCCATTTGGTTCGCGATGTCCAAGGCCCACAGCTCCGCACGGCAGCACCATCACAACCACCGCAGCAGCACAGATAGCACCAACTGTGGACGTAGCCCACACGACCCCGTGTCGGCAGCATTGGCAATAAAATTACCGTACGGTGCAATTCTGATGGCATGGCGCGCTGCGCTCCCGCCAAAAACAGCAATCTTTGAAATTTAAAGACACCGTAGCGGCGACGCCAGCGCGCAAATGCCGCTCCTGACACTCCAAACGACGGCTGCACCAGGGGCACAATCCAAGGAGGGGGCTTTCGACAAGGAGGCGCAAGGCTCCTCAAAACCGTCCCGGGGTTTTTGAAAACGGGCGCACCGTGCCAGAGGCTGATCCTCAGCTGGTCTCGCTGCACGTCGATGAAGTGGCCCAGCGAGCTGGCCAGCAGGTCGGAGACCCAGCTCTCGAACATGCCGGACGCCTGGGTTCTGGGGCTGCCCGCTGGGCTGGGCGCAGTCTAGTGCCGCAACCGGCTCCCCTGCGCATGACTAATCCACGAGGCGTCGAACACTCGTGGCGTCGCCCAAGTACGTTACGGGATTGGTGGAGGGCGTTCCGGATACAGACCGTGAGTACGGAGACGGAGACGCCGTATATGCGAGCCACTGCGCGAACTTCTTTCCACGAACTACGCGATTTTTTTCCTGCGGGAACATTTTTCTGTATCTGGTGCACACCCCAAACGCCCGTGATGCCGGGGCGCTGTTTGAGCAGCTGCAATGCTGGCAAGGATTTCTGCAACTGCCACTGGCTCCAGGGCGCAGCATTGCGCATTGGCGCCATGGTCGATGAGGCGAAATTTCGGCCAAGGGCAACGTCAGCATGGACTTCGGCGATCAGAATTAACAATACACAAGCGCGAGCTGCGCCACCATCCCAACAGTCGTTCGCAGATCAGTCCAGCGAAAGTAAAAGAAACAACTGGCCTCACTGAGCATACAGCCAACGCTTGAAGAGCAAACCCGGCGCTCCCTTTGGGTGCGCCCATGTACTACTGTCCCTGTGTGGGGCCTCGCTGCGAGCACTAAATTCCTCTGTGCCGGATGGCCAAGCGTTGAAAGAAGGCTTGTCTTTGCACCAGGGAGCGGCAAAGACATCCTCTGCCCTTCACCTTGCCGCTTCTGAAGAGACACAACACATGTCTCTGCAGCCTCGAGCTGGCCATCATGCAAGCACCACCAACAGCCAAACACTCTACAAACCACCTTTCGAATCCCCTTCACACAATCTACCGAGCTCTAAACCATGAAACCGCCCCAGCGCCCAATTCAGCAAAACCGACAATCGCTCCCTACTATCCTCCCTTCGGCTACTGCGCTGCTACGTCCCCCGCGAGGCCCTCGCAAAGCCCACATGGGCCTCCAACGTTGGGGCGACATGTCCCCCGGTGGATCTCAATGCGCCACAACAGCACAGGCTTTCAGTGTGTACCCTCTCCAGGACTACAGCGCACTCTTCATCCAGAGGCCTCACTGCGATACGCTTTGGGACCAGCCAACAGCACTGGCCCCACCCCGTGTTCTACCTGAACCACAAGCGGCGGAAGACTAAGGGTCTGCAACTTGCGGCCACTCGGGTTCTGGCGGCTGCGGATCGTCCCCAAAAGCATCCCATGCCACCCAATACATCTGAAGGACGACATAGCCGATGCCCTGGCTGGCCTTCTTCTTCGGCTGTTTGTCGATCAGCTTGCACTTGAATGTTTGCACAGCGCCTGGCGGGTCTATGGCGTAGGACACTGCAATTTCATACACGCCAAGAACAACGTTCTTCAGCAAGTCGTCATCCTTCACCTCGATTTTTATCACATCCGTCGCTTTCGTGCTCTCCCACTGGAACGTCTCGTTCCATTCAGGGTCGATTGAATTGTTGATGATCTTGGACTTCCTCTCGCTGCCGCCAATCTGTATGAACGTAAGGCAAGTAACAGCTCAGGGACAACCCCAGTCCGTTGCGTTCAGCTTCGACCACACTGCATCTCCAGAGCAAAATGGGGCTCTTGAAAGTTGCAGGCAATGTAGGATAAGTCAGTCACTGCAAATTCAAATGGTGCGCATGCTCCCCCCAATGGGGAACATCTCCTCGCATGAGCCATTTGCACAGTACACCAATGGTCGGGACAATGGGAGGATATGAAGAGAACATCCAAGGTCAACACGCCACAGAACCTAGACGTTCTGAATAATACCACAAGTCGTTTCGCAACTGTGGCCATCTGCCATAGACATGGCTGCACCACAGACAAACAAACGGGCACCTTGCATTTTTCCTATTTCTGCGTCACGGTTGTGGGCCACGTAACCGTTGAGCCCTCCATGGAAGCACGCAACGTGCCAAAGGGACCCACATCACAAGACCACCGCCACCCACCAAAGGATTCCTGAATGCATCTTACTCACTTTGAACTTAACGTACGGGTCGCTCTTTCCCAATGTGTCCACGTTTTTCAGACCTCTGGCATGCACCAAGCGAACATACAGCACGCCCCTCTCCACTTTTGCAAACAGCGAATCGGAGCGCTTCGTCCTGGACTTTGGAATGGTGAGGCCATCGAGGGGGATCCATTCCACATGCATGATGACATCGCCCTTTGTGCCCTTGGTGCCTGCGGATGTCTCCAGCGGAAGGTTGACAGTAATGGAGTCGAGGTGGATGTCGTCAGCAAACTTCTGAGCCACGTCAGCGAGCGGTACCTGCCCTCGACCTAACAGTTTGTCGCTCATCTTTCCCTTGTCATGGACCTGTAAACAAAACGCACAGCCGCCAGTGATGTGCAGCACATTCCACGGAGCAGGGTTTTGTCTCCAAGTGTGGTGGAATACGCTTCAGCAAGCAGACACGGTTTCCGAGGCAACAATACTGGTGGCCCATATGAGAGCAACACTGAATATTGTGGCATATTACCATTTCATACCAGCAGCGATGGGCAACTTCTCAAATTCTCTTTTCGCATCCGTAGCCCCAGAGGGCCATGGGTGTGACAGCGATGAGTGTCTCAACACAGAAGCGTCCCGTCATCACTAGATACGTCTGATTCAAAGACTGCCTTTATTACAGTCTGAAAACATGCACAAAATGGGCGTCAGACTACTGAAAAGAGCTTTCTGCAAAATGCTCTTCATACTGTCTGTGGTGACACACGACAACAACCCCTGTATCCAGTTGGAAAGTGCCATATACAAACACATTGGTGAATGCAATGTGAGCTGAATAGGACGGCGAACATGGGACCATCAGCAACAGCGCGCATGGTGTTGTGTACATGCTTGCAAGTCTTATTGAAACAGTGCTTTTGGCCACATACTCACATACCTGGATGGTGTGCACCAGCGGCGTGGACACGAATTTCACAGCACAGATGACGCAGAAGTCCATAAGCACAAGCGCATAGGCTTTCATCACAGAGCAGTATGCACTGCAAGAAATCATGCCCCCAGGGGCACCCATATGAGCAGACTATTATCTGCACCAACCACTGTCGGATCGAACCTAACCGTGGATATCCAATAGGACGCTGCACACAACAATTAAAAGCTGTGCCATCGAACATTATGCTATTCAAGGGTCCTGTGCATTCGCAGTTCCTTTATACATTGCACTCCATTCCTTTTCCATGGTGCGATTCCAGCTTATAATTGCAGCATTGCTTTCCAACAGAGACACTTTCGCAGCTCGTTTCTGAAGTCACCTCCTACGAGCGCATTTGAAGATGCAATTATGAAAAAAGACTAGAAAGATGCAAGAAAACGCTAGTTTTCTGCGTCACCACAGGGGCAGGGTGGATGTGATGGACTTAGTAAACCAAATTCTCGATACTGCTCCCATAATTATCTCTCCACAGCCAATCCAAGTCACCCACCTCAACAAACAGCGTCTCCGTTGCAGAGACGTTGGGCCACTCATAATACTCGTTCCACTCAGGATCCAAGGTGTCCTTGAGCACAGGGGTGCTCTTCTTGTCATTTTGGCACCAAAGCACGCAGTAGGGGTCACTCTTCTTGTCCTTGTCCACAGGCACCAGGTTGTGGGCGCCCTCCATCCAACAAAACAGCATACCATGATGCACATTGCGCTCCTTGTCCCTTGGCGTCAGTGAGTAGTGGCCATCTCTTAGGGACTCCAGCGTCATGTGTGTTAACTTCAAACGAACCTCCCCTTCACCAGATCCCTGACAGCACAATAGAGGAAGGAGCCAATGAGCAGTGACAAGCGTATTGGCAAAAACTTCATGCGGAGAGCAGCCAGGCACGACGATCAGAATGGATTGCAACCAATATATACAGGCAGATCAAATCTGACTCATAGTTAATCTACTTGTTTCTGCTAGCCAGGGCCCAATGCAGCTAAAGGTCCTTCGATTCAAGTCATTCTGGCACCACGAATCTCAAAACAATATTTTTTTTTCTTTGTGCATGGGCATGTGTGTGGGCATGTGGGTGGGTGGGTGGCGTGGGGTGGGGGTGGGGTGGGGGGGGCAGGGTTGAGGGGCTGTGGCACATTGCCATTCAGAAGTCAGGGAAGCTGTTGTGTGCATGAGATCATTCGTGCAACATGTCACACCACAAATGTCATTTTGCAGATCATGCTACTTTGTGTTGCTGGGAACTCCTGTTATGCTTTGGGACAAAACGAATCTCACAACAGTACATGCACTTGGGAGGGGGATGGCCATTGTTGGGTATGATTCCTTACCTCATCAGAACGAATATTTGGTACAGACACAAAGGCACATGGGGAAAAAAACCTGTCAACAGTACACCAAAACACAATACTTACTGGACCACCCAATTGACCCCAGCCCCCTTTGCCAAGAGGATACCACTTGTCCACAAGTTCACCAACAGGCAACTCGTTAATGCACACACTGGTTCGCCCATAGAAGTCGTCTCCAGAAAAGGAGGCCACGGCCACCGCAGGGTTGTCCCAATCCCACACCTCCAGATGAAGGGACTGCACACAAGAATCAAAAAACACAACATTGTGGGCAGCTTATCCATGCTGTCGTTCTGCGCTTGGCAGCAAATCGGGACCTATGCTGCCAGCCCCTCTTACAACACAAGCCACCAAGTCAGCTTCATCGCTATTCGGGGGGTTGCAGTGCTCTCCACAGTCCCACGGGCAGTGGAAATGAGGGACAGGATACTAGGCGCAAACCTTGTGGCTCAATATGCCATGAGAAGATGACTTGGGGTACACAGCAATGGCTGCCAGTGCAGTGAAGCAATCACCACCAGGTACGTTCGAATGCCGAGCAAAAGGTACCGCACATACAAAAATGCAAAACAAAGCCATCTCTGGAGGCAAAGACACACTAGAGCTGAACACCAGGGCAACACACCATGGTCATTGTTAAACTCTTGGTCGCGGGATACACTTGAGTACATACTCTACTGCAATGCACGCCGTATTACATGTGAGTGTTACAGGTTTTCACTTTGCCATGTGAGACTTGTGCATCAGCTTTCACAGTATTGAAGAGAGTCTTTCAACGTGTTTGCTCATGTTGGGTGTCTCCATGAAATGTTTCTCCTTCGTCCTCAACAATATGGAAAGGCAGACATGGTCTGGAGCAATGCGATATAACCAAGAACTACCTTCTGTGTGAGTAAACTGTTCCCACACTTTCAAAATATGGTGAATACAATGACTGAACGACTAACAGCGTGTTCACAAAGGCAGCCATGAGCTTCGCATTCGAAATTTCACGAAGCAGACTGCACCGAGCTGTTAGCCAACATACCTGTTCCACTTCTTGGACTTTCAGGAACAGCTCTTCATCCCACTGAGGGGTCACAGTGTTGTTCAGGATCTGAGGATAAAACACAGGGACTCAATAGAACAGAAGCGATACACCTTCAATCGATGTAAAACAGAGCAGCTTAGCTTACAAGAGCATGCAAAAGTATAATTTGAGTCTGCCACAGTAAACCCACGATCAAAAAAGCTGCTGCGGGAGCTTGCTGGAATGCACCAGCAATTTGCAGGCCAACCTTCAGTGGCCACGTTACAAGGTAAGCCAATAATATTATCTGCATAGATGCCGCACACTACAACAAAAGACCATCTTGAGCAGAAGCTTTGTGGTGAGCTGCTGATGATGCTTGCACTGGCGAACTTTCTGCCAGGAAGCTCATCAGAACATGCGCTGCCCATATCACAAAGCAATTACCACAAAAAGGCATTGCAGCAATGCTTGCTACCATTCTGGGCAGGTCGCTGCACTTTCGTTCATGCATCGCCCTCACCGTACTGACAAGCAGTCACGAATAACAGGCGATGTGACACAATTTGCTCCCAGATGTGGAGTGGAAGAGACAGAGGGCATGGTGCAGTAATGGTCCTGCCATCTATCAAACGCAAACAATCCTAGCAGGCCCGGGTTTCTCATCACCTTTGTCTTGACTGGGTGCAGAGGCACTGTCTCAAGTGTGCAGTAAGGGTCACCCTTTGAGGTTAGCAAGTCTTTCTTCTTGAGGCCTCTGGCCTCAACGACACGCACACGAAGAATACCCTTTGTCCGCAGCTTGAATTTGTCCAATGGCCCAGTGAACTCCTCAGGAAGCATAGGAATCTGCAGCAAGGATACAAATGTTGCAACAACATGTTAACGTATCATTGTCACGTGATATCAAAAATCAACTGCAGTGTAAATGAAGCGAAAACAGAATGGCTGTTCTGAGCATTTCAGCAGAAAACAGTACATGCATGCATTAACAATATGTTTCTGGACAAAATGAGCTTGGAGGACAATCCTGTTCCACAACATTGTGGTGCACAGTGCTGCCATCACGACCACTATTGCACTGAGAACGTCCAAGGACAGCCCTGCGTTGGGGCTCAAATGGCATTGTGAGGCAGCAGAAGACCTACAGCTCCTCTACTGGGCTGTAGAAAAAGGGCAGCAGCCCTGCTCATTCAGGCTGTCGTCACCTTGGAAGGATATTTTGCAACAGTGCAGCAGCAAGGCGCAAAGAAAGATAGCACTACTTGGAGCAGTCACCAATGTGTCGCAAGTAACATTGTGCCAACGTTGCGACCTCTTGAGCGGTTCAGTTCTGCTTTTTGGTGTGGTGTCTGGGTTACAGTACATGGGCCACCAAAGAGCTTGTGAATTTCAGCAAGAAAACCACGATTCTAGCAAAAGGATCCTAGCACCAGCATGACGCTTTTCCACTATGCCAACAACGTGAATCAGATTTGGCAATAGGATTCCATGTAAGTCCGGTGCAGACTTGTCAACAAGATGCAGGTGAATTCAAACTGCATGATACTTTGTGGCCAACGGCAATCTTCTTCATCGAAGACTACAGAAAGCCGCTTTCAAGGCAATGTCTCCATTGCAGGTTCCCAGCGAGTTTAATAGGACATTTGTGATGACTTCAAGCAGTCAGTCAGGATGTGCCAGTCAGCAGCACTGAATTGCTGCAAACCATTTGTGCTTCAGCAGATGGAGCAATCAAGACAACAAAGCTATTGTGGGTATAGTCAGGAGCAGTTGAGCGACAAGCAGTTGTCCACTCACCACCAGCCTATTGGGCCACACAAACATGGACCCAAGAACATTGTTGACCAGGAAAGGCTGCAGCCAAGCCTCCACCGCCTGCCCTATCCCTGCCCCACAGTTGAGATCAAAGGTAACCTGCGGCACACAGAAACAGGCGTCGCTACACATCCATAAGGCAGGATGCAGCAGACTCAACATTAATGCCATAACTTCTTTAGTGACAGCAGCATGCCAGTCACATGGAGCAGTTGGGTCAGCTCAGGCTAGGCCAGTGTTGCATATGGTCAGGTCAGTGTGACGCAAAATATCGCTGTGCTAACTGAGTATCTTGACAGATTTTACAGCACACAGTGTCTGCTCCCGCAGCAATCCTTCAGTAATAAGACATTTCTTGGGAAGGATATTTCCTCCACTTCAGCAATTGAGGAAGCTTGCAAATTACCTTGCCAAATGCTCAATTGTGGAGATGACTAGGCAACAGTTTGATGAACAGTTGAATCAATGACCAAAATAATGAAAGCAAACATCGATGTATCTGTGATGCAGATGGTGAAACAGCAATTCCTCTTGGGACCCAATCATCCATCTGGTTGAAAGACAGAGCAAACAATAACCAACATGATCACCAAGGGGCACAAACCCCACATCTTCAGTGTCCTCCGCACACGATGCAACTGGCAAGTATTGCATATTCAAATTCATAGAAATTCATGGAAATTTGTAAACAAGAGGTTATCTGCAGCTGTCTCCACAAAGGCAGAGGCTCCTGTGGGGTGTTCATGCAGCTAGAAGCACTATTGTGACTTGCAAACAAGGCCTGATTTCTCACAGCAGTACAGATGCCATGACTCGTTTTTTGGCACATCATGAATGGAACTTTGGCTGCCTATTGGAGACAAGTGCACAAAAGTCTTCGTATGTCCACTATGGGTTCGCAAATGTTCTCAGCCTCCCATTCCCAGCAGTGGTACCCTATGATTTGCATGAAGCATTTTTGTCTATTTTACATATTTGTTGTGATCTACATATCTGCATGTTTGTATATGTATATTTGTACCCAAAAAATTTGTGCTCTGGGTTTGGCCTTTATGGACACTGTGTTCTGGATCTTCTGCAGGTAGGCACACTGCCTAATGACATTTTGCAGGTGCAACACTTGTGTTTCGTTGCTTTTCAAGACAGGCACTGAGTGGATTTGCAGCAGTTCAATATGTCAATGGGCTGCACCGTGGCTGGTATCTCACCAGTGGCGGGTCCTGAAATGCGACCAGCATGACACCAAAGCCCGGGATCTTGTCACACAGACGTCCCAATGTGATGCGAGCCTGGGCAAAGAAATTGATGCGTGTAATACTGGGTGCAATGTGAGTGCCAAAGAGATCGACACCGATGGCCACCTGTGCCGTGCCATCCCACCTGCATTAGAAACAAAGATGCGGTCAGCATAGACATGGGACCCCTGCTGTGCGAAATTATGCACAACCAAATTCATTCCATCTATCAATAATTTCAAATTGCGTTTATCAATATGACCAGCTACAGATCATCGCCTGAAGCGCAATGTGAGGGTGTACTATGGCCAATTTGCAATATGCGACTGAGACAGTTTGGTCTCTCAATCAAGCTTCAAGATTCCCTTTATTGAACACTTCAACAACAAGGGCCAACACACCCCCTTGCCAGGAACGATGTGTGTGCTCGTTCACAAAATTTCACAAGTGGGCCCTCCAGCTCAACATGCAGTTACCAATGTCAGGTGAATCTACATTCCCAGGAGGCCCACACTTTCAATTTTCCACTTTGTGCCCTGCAGCAGTACAGATGCCCAGTCGAATTTAATGTTTTCTACCTTTCAAATATTAAGTGTAGTTTCTTCCTCAGCAGTGGTACTTTATATTCTGCTTTCAAACTTCAGATGAGACTGTGCCTGAGCTCATAGACTACTCAAGAGTGCAAGAGCAATACTGATGATAAATTCATCAACCAGAACGAACTACTCCCTTTAGACTCCTTACCAACACTGTGGACTCTTCCTGAAACTGCAAAATCTTTCAGTAGTTTTTATGTACTTACATCTATTAGCTTCAAGAGAGCTTAAGACTTGAAGCTAAAAACAACAATACTACATAAACGCCCTTTGCACCTGTAAGCTGAAGTTTGGAGCTTTCCCCCTCTGGGCATTTTTCATTCTTGGAATTTCAATATTCATCTACAAAGTACTCCAGGTATTCATAAGCTGGCAAGAGAGGGAACGACAAACACATTCCCAAAGTCTGAAACAAGGAAATGTAAGTGAAGATCATATGACACATGAAGCGCTGTCGAAACAGAGTCAAAATGTGCGTATGTGGGTTGCATTTACTGCAACAGTCCACAATACTCACATGATAATACGTTAGCAAAATACAATACAAATGCCATTATTTTTGTCAGCATTCACAGCTGCAACAGGCATTCAATACGAGTGAACATTGTGACATCAGGCAATCAAGGCTGACCTTGCTGCATGTGGGCATTGCCAATTGTGGCTTTTGTCATTTGACACTGGGAATATAGTTATTGCTGTCACAGTATCCATGACTATATATGATGAACAGAAGAACTTTGTCTGGGAAAATCCTGTTGGGTTTTTGCATTCTTCTTTTGGGAAGCTCTAAAGGTGCCAGTGGCTTCCTGATATTCCTTTCTTTATGATGCGAGTTGGATTGATGAGCTGCAGGCAACATAGATTGTCACTCAGTGCAGCGAACAACACACCCAAGCACATATGCACACTCTACTGGCCCCAATCGGGTCATGGCATCCCACAATATGGACATGGCGGAGATTGACTGGTAGGATGGAGACCTCAACATATTCAAAGTTGACCCGCCTTATGAGTTAAAAACAGTGCTTTGGTACTAGCAGCAAACACAAATCTGATGGAATAGAAATATACACTTCAGTACCCTGTAGCTTATATCCTTATCAAGATGGACTCAGATCCATCAACTAGAATTTTCATATTCAATTTGCCCAGTAGAGGGGCTCGCTCCACAATCGTACCTCAACCCTGCTTCCAGCACGATCTCGCGCTTGGACACCCGGACAGTCTTCATATGGGTGAGCTTGAAGGGAACACCCCCAAATGTCATCTTCTTGAAAAACAGTTTGGATATGAATGGTGGCTTGCTCTTCTGCAGGATGGGCTCCACGGTCGCAACCACCTGTTTGCATATGGCCGCCTCGTAGAATGGCCAAGCCTGCTCGATGACTGCATTCAGCCACTCCACCTTTTCGTTCTCTTCCAATGTCAGCCAGTATGGGGCACCCTGCGTCACGGCTATGATGCCCTTCTCGCCCATCTCCACAGCAAGGATGTTGCCCACCCTGTCCTTTCGCCTCCTGAGGCAGTTGTGGATGGGAAAAATGTGATGAAATTATCCAAGCCAAAAAAAATGATTGGAAGTTAGCAATCTGAGTGAACAGAAATTCTGGGTTGAAACGTGCAGTACATCACCTCCAAGCTGTGAGTCCAGTGCTTTGGCATGTTCTGAGCTTCACAGCAACTTTCAACAAGTTACTCACTGTCAGTATTGCAGGCAATCTCACAACAGCAATGCAAGCGACACACGGTTGTTCACATCCCAACGGCCCGCTTTAGGAGGCACCCACTTGTTCTTCTTGTATTTGCTGGCAAATCGCAGTCCTGACCATGCGCCCCAGACCAGGCCAACAATGAACTCCACAGATCTCTTCTCTATGTATTTTTGCTGCACGGTGTGGTACACCCCAAGTCCACCCAGACCTAGCAAGCACCGCAGCAGTGTCTGTCATACTGATGTTACAACAGAAAGCAAAGGAAAGAGAATTTGGGAACAAACTAGCAATTCAACACTGATCTGTAGCACCCCTTTAATGCACATCCGTATCCAAGGAATATTCTGGCATGGATGCAGAGTGAAATCCGGGTTTGCATTTCATCCATAGGTTTGGAAAAGCAAATGCAATTTTTTTACCAAAATTGCCACTTTGGAAAGAAGGAATATTCTGGCATGGATGCAGAGTGAAATCCGGGTTTGCATTTCATCCATAGGTTTGGAAAAGCAAATGCAAATTTTTGCCAAAATCGCCACTTTGGAAAAGAGAAAGGTGGGGAGCAGGCTCCATGTTGTCCAGGATTCAGCTTTGCATTCCCCAAAATTATGCTTGGACTGTGTCATCAAGCACATGCAGCCAGAAAGAACTGTCAATATGCACAATGGCCTTCTGCATCAACACGCCTGGGTATGCTCTAATGCCACTTGACAACTCTGACACATAAGCACGGCCATAATCATCATCTGTGTCAAAATCTACAGGCCATCAGGATGTCAGTTGAAGAGCAAACTCAGGCACAAAAGAGCCTTGCCTACTAGGTTCTGTCTTTGGATATAGCACAGACGATGCCATACACATTTTTGTCCTCTGCTGCCTGGCATACTATGTGCAAAATTCACCCCACAGCTCAGGCTGAGAACACTGCCATAAGCTGGCAGCCAGCCACATAATAGCCACCAGCAAATGGTCTTGATGCACAAGTGCCAGCTATCAACTTCCAAGCATGATGGGATCTTCTGTCCTTGGCAAGCATATACAGTTGACATCAGAATTCAGCGATCACAAAAGGGGGCCGCCCGAGTCCCCCACCAACGTACCAAGAAACAGTGTGTCGATAATGCCAGACAATGGGATACCCCATTTCTTCTTTTTTTGGGATGGTGCCGCAGCAGTTTCTCCTGGGCCCTCCCCCACAAAGGAGCTGGCATCCGAGGCGTCATCTCTGCCCTGCGCCCCTTCAGTCTTCTCTACAATTCCCTCACCGTGCTGCCCTATAGGCAACTTCAGACCTTCAACGCTGCATGACCCACTAGCTGCAGCTGTTGCACACACACACACACACACACACACACACACACACAGTCGTTACTGTTGTTCATTGCTTTGTGGAATGGGTCCATGTTGTGCTACTGGCCATGGTAAAGACACCAGCAATCTCATGTCCATGTGTCAATGCCTGAAATGGGGCTATGTGCGACTCCGCGACCACCAAGGAAAGAAAATAATGTTTGTCCTGGGAACCGCAAGGGATTCAGAACCCCATGACTGCTTGGACAGAAACACTTGCAAGACAGGTGCCCGGCTCAGCAGCAATGCCAGCACTCTTTACTACCTGCAAAGGTGGTGCAGGAGTGTATAAATGAGACACAGGAAAGCGTGGCAATGACCCAGAGATTCGGGGTGTGAAGGCAGGGGAAGAGGTGGCCTGTTCCCGACTTTGGAGGCTTATTCCCCACTGCCCAGACAGGAAGTAAAGTACAAAAAATGCAAAGCTGCCACTAACCCGTGTCCCAAGATTGAGACAGGACGAAACGACGTCTGGCATGTGGTATGCGGAACCGCCACACGAGGCACGGCTGGATGCAAACAAGTCACCAAAGCACCACCACCAGGCATTGCCCTCCCAGCACCGCCGCTCTCCAAAGTCCGTCAGACTGAGGATTTGTTGCGACCATTTGCCTCCCTTCAGGTTCTTGGCAACTCTCAGCGCGGAGAGCAGCAAAAGAAACGGCGCTGTCCGCGGGCGTGCCTGAGCGCGAGGGGTCGCGCGCCACGTCATCACATGATCTTCGCCTGTGAATCTCGCTACCATCCCTGACCCACCCGAGGGTCAGCCGACCGTGCGAGGTCTGAAATTGCGCGCCAGTCACCACCTGGACGCGGCCAGGACTCATGAACTGCTGCCGCCAACGACAGCATTCGCCCCGACGACCACGCGCGACCATGCCGATGTCGGCAGGACGATCCCGCGCCGAAACGGGCAGGAGACCAACGCTGCGGTTCCCGAAAGGGCAACAACCGCGCAGATACACGTCCGCTATCGATGGCCAACCCGCCCCACGAACGACTCAATGATCTGCACACGCAGACCACAATTCCACAATGCCGCGGCTTGCGCCTATTCTCCAGTCCCCACTAGCTCCCCCTCCTCCCCCTTCTCCTTCACCTTCCCTCCAGCAGCGCACACAGGCGACTTCAAACGAAGCGCGCTATCCCGAACGCGCCCTCGCTCACTTTGGCGCGATCCCCGGCGCAGCAGCGCGGAGCGCGGGCCCCCGCGTCCCGTCACCACCCACCCGCATCCCCGCCCGCCGCACCGGCGGCCGTCGCGCCCGGCTTCGATGACATTGGCGGGTATCAGGGCCCCCCCGCGGCGGCGGCGCGGTCTCGGAGCGCCGCAAAAAGAACAAGAGCGGCCGCCAAGCGGGAGGGCGCCGTCCTGCCGAGCAGGGGGGGGGGGCGTGCCAGCGGGGTCGTCCGTCGCGATCTCGGTTTTCCGGGTTTGCGTTGCTTGTGAAATGTTGCGTTGATGTTGAAATTGCCGTCATCTCCCGTTGTTACGTAATCACGTGGGAATATGAAATTAATGCGTGAACCCGGCGTTATGGGGTTTTCCCCCCGAGTTACCCTTTGCTCCGCTGTAATCCGTAGCCGTGTACTTTGGCCTACGGGAGCCCCCGCAGGCGTTGCCAACCCTTCCCCCGCCACCTTCATCATCGTTGGATGAAGGCCGCTGGACCTTAGCCGTTTATGCTTTGCGAGTCCAGCGGGCTTACAGCACGTGGCACGTGGTGTACAGGGACTGGTCGTCATGCTAAAACGATAGCATCTTTCAGCAATTAAATGTTGGGGTAGCACCCCAAATATCCTTAAAGGGAAGGTACGGTGTCGAATTTGGTACGCTTAGCGTTAATTTGATGCTAAGGGGGGCAATCAAGACCAGTGAGCTAAGAGATTATGTATATGCCACAACAACAACAAAAAAACGACAACAGCTATGGAAATGCCCAAAAGCCGCTGATCAGGGGCAAACAACTTACGAATTGCCTAGAAACCTCCCTCAAGCGTTCAATCTTAGGGAATGCCCCATATTTGCCCAGTTGTGAGCCTCCAGGACTCCCGCCATCGTTTGCCGTGGACTCCAGAATCGGATTAATAAGCCTCTACAATTACTGAAACTCCGGCGATTATCTTCCTCAAAAACAGGTTCAAAACTTGTGTCAGGCTATTAGGTGACTGTGCTGAGTCATTCTGGCATCGACGTAAGGATTGGCGCTAAGAAGGGGGAAGGGGGGTTGTCTGATTTTAGCGTCAAATTACGGTAAACGTAAAAAAATCGACAATGCCTTCCCTAAGGTAACGCCCCCAAGCATCCTACAGTTTTTTAATATCAAAGTGTATCGTCCACTGTCAAGAGATAAAATTCTACTTCTTCCATCCCAAATTAAATTGCAGTAATGAACCGTGGGCATAGAAATCCTACCAAAGCATATCAGATTTTCACCAAAAATTCCCACAGTGTTTGAATTTTAGTCTAGTATGTGCTCCAAATTTTTTGAGTTGATCAGCTGAGTATGCAATCCGTAGTGTCATCGCGAGCGTACGTCACTCAGTCAGGCATTTCAAAGTGGGCACAAAACAGCCCGTTTTCGGGTCGTGGACCATATCTCCTTGTGTGCGCCCAATCTTGTAAAGTGACGCAACTTAGAAACGTGTTTCAGATTGAAGGTTGGAGAAGAGCTGCAAAAGCAAAGGGCAGGCCGCCAGCTCGTCTCGAAAGGCATGATCGAGGATCTTGCCTGTTTTTTGCCTCAATCGCCATTCCCCGAAGTGTGCGCTGGTTGTGCGCCATAATCTTTTCAACTTTTGTTGCCAACTGCTCCCTCCGTGTCTTGGGACATCCGCAGCTCCCTTGCCATATGTGGGACAAGTTCATTCCGGCATGATTGCTGATTACTTATCGGAACGACTTACCGATGGTCTCGAATCTACAGGCGAGATCCTTGATCATATGTTTTCGGAATGCACTGGGAGTTTGACCTCTGCCTCTATATCTCTGCTCTTTCCTACGCTCCAAAGCGTGTCTCCAACTCTTGTCGTTGCTCTTGGAGACAGCCACCGCAAAAATGGCACGTTCCAGGGTCCGAAAACAGGCGGTTTCTGCGCCACCTTGGAAAACTGGGGAAATTCTATAAAACTGGAGATGATTCAAAACAGCACTATGAATTGACCCCTCAACCGATTGACTCAAAAATTTGGAAGCACAAACTACTAGTTAATCTACAATAATACTACTTGTGTTAATTTATGCCTAGTAGGCATAAATTGATACATTGTGACGAATTCTAGTGAAATTAAGACACTGTTTAGTAGTTTTTCAAGGCCATATAGCATAACTGCAATTCAATTTGGGACGGAGGAAGTATGCATCTGTGAATACTCACAAACGGCTTCATCTGGCAGGCAGCCACAACTGTGCGTGTGGTGTAGAACGTCCTCTATCGGCCGCATTCCTGGACACATAGCCTTTGCCAATACCAACGCAAGTTTCGCTGCTAAAGTTCCTTTGATCTCCCGATTGACAGTTGCGTTGATAAATTTCTGGCTACACGGTCTACCGCTTCAATACTGCATCAGATGGTGTTCGCTTTCGTAAGTGTCAGATCTACGCTCAGGTGTTTTAAGTTTTACTGTGATTTTCGTGCTTCAACACAAAAAAAGAAAATGGACCCCAGCTGGTTGCAATGGATTTCATGTGCATCTCAGAGTTTATAACTATCGAATTTCAGACAATTTACATGCGGGCTCGTACCCTGCAGCTCCTTCTGCAGGTGGAAAGTTTCTTTTGCAACGTTATACCAACGTATCATCAAGTGCTCAAACCATCCGCATCAGAAAATTTTACCTTTCCTCCGCAATTTTGTTTTCAGAGCGTGATTTTGGTTTTCTTTATGTTGCTCCGCAAAACAAAGTCGCTGTTACATTGGCTTGCCATGTCTCGTGAAACAAAGTGAGTTTTGTCATTTTGTTGAAGATCCATGTGAAACGCATTCGCATCATCCAATATACCGCACGTAGCTGCAGTTGCAATCTTTTAATACCGAAATGCTTTGCGTGAAGTCGCCCTCGAAAGACAAAGCGATCCAGATATTCTCAAGGGCAAGGCAAACATGTTGTATCCGATCCAATGCCCGGAAAAAAATGAAAAATAGTGTTCCAACTCTTCTTGACATATCACCAGAACGGCAGCATCATTTGGAACGTTTGAAGGCCCTACGAGTAGCTCTTAATATGGCGCTCCGAAGTTGTTTCAGCCAATTTTTCTGACTCGCATGTTTGGACCTCCGTTTGGACAAAGTTGCAATCGGCCACGACTTCTGAAACAGAGTAGTATTTTCGTATTTTTACCCCTTTTTATGCCTAACAAAAATTTAAATACGATCTGGGCTTACGGCGCAAATAGCAAGCCTGAGTGTATCCAAGTCACATTTGTCCGCTCCTTTCCCTGGTATTGTTAAGAGGATACGTTGCATGCAGCACGTGCCCTCAACAAATAACCCCCCACATAGAAGACAGCTAAGGTGGGAACGGCACCACGGTGGGCAGGACAACTTCCACTAGGAAAAAAGGGACAATTAGCACATGCTCAAACGTGTACAAAGTTTACGGGTATGTGTTGTTTTTGTGTTCTTAGTGTGCAGAACTTTGATGAAATGTGTGTTATGTGTGTTCGAAAAAGTTTTATTTGGTCCTGTTTTTGCTAGTAACTCCCTTCCGTTCAAAAAATGTCCCATTACATGTGGTGAAAAATGGGGTTCAAACGTGTGTTTCCTGACTTTGACATCCTACCAATATCATATGAGTTGTGCTTTGACAATTCTGCAATATAGTACATATTAGGTTGGCTTGGGATACAAGGGACAAATAAGAGGTTTGGAGGCATTTTGGAGACAGTGCGGTTCCGCGATGGAGGAACCGCAATATGGAGATAGCATCATCGCGGAAGCGCACAAACACTCCAAGGTCCATATCCAGCCTGGGACCGGCTGGTGCGGTTCCGCGATGGCGGAACCGCACAAAAATCTCCAGGGTCCATTTACACCACACGACGCCTGGTATAATACCTGGGAATACCAGTGGTATTCAGGCCTCCTGGACTGACAAGCGGGGGATGGTGAAGGTGGACAAAGTCTGGAAACATACCAGTGATTTGCAGCGCGCGCTGTTGGATGGGATGTGTGGGAGGCCTCCACGGGCGACGATTACCATATCTTTGAAACCACCGCACACAACGCCAGAAGTAACAAAAATTTACAAAAATGTTGAAACAACAAAAAGTTACAAAAAATGTTCATACAACAAAAAGTTGCAAAAATGTTCAAACAAAAACATCCTAAAATGACTTGGGGACCAAAGGACCCGTACGCCCGCCGACATCCTATTGTCCCTGTCCACTACCCCACAACCCCTCGGCAACTAATCCCTACGGAAGGTGACCTCATCCGTCACAGTTCGCACCCGCCTAACGACCGCCACGGGCCGCTGGGGGTCGTCCTCGGGGGCCAAAGAGCACCCTTCGAGGCCCCACGACAAATCGAGGGCGGGGTCGTCATGCTGGGGATGGGGCCCGGCAGATGGCACAGGGTCGGGCTGCCTGCTGTGCAAGGGCTCCTCTGTATCGAGCCCACGGCGAGGGTGATGGAGCCGCCAAGCCGTGGGAAGGTCATCGTAGGAGGGCAGGCCGTCTCCAACGTCCACGTGATGGACAGCCTGCGAGGGTGGGGCAGAAGCGGCCCGTAAATCCGCCCAAGGCCCCCACTGCCTGGGGCCGGGGGAGGAAATAGAGTGGGAAGGGGCGGAGGGGTCCAAAGAATGGTGGGGGGCGGAAGGGTCGAAAGAGTGGTGGGGGGCAGATGGGGCAAAAGAGTGGTGGGGGGCGGAGTGGGCAGCAGGGGCGGAGGGTGCAGAAGAACCATATGGGCCGGAGGGGCCGGAGGGGCCGGAGGGGCCGGAGGGGCCGGATGAGCCGGAGGGGCCGAAGGGGCCGGATGGGCCGGAGGGGCCGGAGGGGCCGGAGGGGCTTGAGGGGCCGGAGGGGCCGGAGGGGCCGGAGGGGGGGGGGCCTCCAGGGCGGGCCAGGAGAGTGTTGGTGTGCCCGAGTGCAACACAACACCACCCCTTCCATCACGAACTGCCACCATGAAGTGGCCCACCCTGCAACCCCTACACCCCCCCACTAAAGCCGCCGGTGTCAGCGCTTTGCAGATTCTGCCACAGGCTGTACACACCCAAACGCTGTTGGTGGGGATAGCCTGATCGAAATCCAGCTTCAAGGTGAAAGGAGGCAT